TTTCTCTGCAGGGTGTCTGGGCTCTCCCTTAGAGATAGGGTGAGAAGCTCGATCATCCGGGAGGGACTCAGAGTAGAGCCGCTGCTTCTCCACGTCGAGAGGAGCCAGTTGAGGTGGCTTGGGCATCTGTTTAGGATGCCTCCTGGACGCCTCCCTGGCGAGGTGTTCCGGACACGTCCCACCGGAAGGAAGCCCAGAGGAAGACCCGGGACACGCTGGAGGGACTATGTTTTTCGGCTGGCCTGGGAATGCCTCGGGATTCCCCCGGAAGAGCTGGCCCAAGTGGCTGGGGAGAGGGAAGTCTGGGCCTCCCTACTTAGGCTTCTACCCCCGCGACCTGACCCTGGATAAGCGGAAGAAAATGGATGGATGAATGAAAAGATTGCAGAAAGAAGAACAATCTTATATCTGCCCCTTACTTAAAAATATAAAATAACTTTAAACAATCACTTAAATTAATCACTTTAATATCCACTTTAAAGCTAGGAAGAAAAAAAACGTGTTTTTTGTTTGTAGAATTTAATTCTAACTTTGAAACTTATCCAACATTAATAAAACTTACCTCAAGTTTCCTTTTTGGACATGCATGCATATATTTGAACAAATTGTACTTGAGAGGAGATTATTACAGTCTCATAGAAAATCAATGATGATCATGATATCGCAACTGGATCGGTATCGGCCGATATTTAGATTTAGGTATCGGGATCGGATCGGAAGTAAAAAGAATATGGATCGGTGCATCCCTAGTAATAAACACGTGCACACACACAGACACACACACACACTCATTCAGCACCCAGAGACCCACAGATAATGAAACAACAAAGGCACGTGCAATTGGCGTTAACCAAATGAAACAGCATCTTGTGTGTTTAGGCGACCCCCTCTGCAGCTTTCATGTAAATTTCATTTTATTATTATTATTATTGACAAATTCTTAAATTCCTGCTGAAACATTAAATTTCCCAAACGTGCTTTATCTCAAAAACACAAAACTTCATGACTGGGAAGTGGGCTCAGAATAGAAAGAGGTATTGTTTTTAACATTTAAAACAGTTTGTTAACAACTCAGAAAGACGAGAAAAGGTCCGCCTTGCAGCCGACTAAAAAATGTCTTACAGAGGAAGCTGTGGCCCCCGGGGGCCTGAGTATTATTTTCCCTAACGGACTACTGTATCTATCCACAGTCACATCCTCTCAGAACATGAGAAGGGAAGTTGGTTTGTTTGTGTTGGCCCCTTTCTGCCATGACGACTGGGGACATATTTCAATGAATTGAAGATGGTGCATCCATGCAGCCTCTCCTCCCTTCTCCACAGAGCGCTTCACACACCTGTTACTTCCTCCACAGAGGACGGGCATGGAGGTCCTTCCCATGGTCCACCAGAGGAGACACCCCAAGTAGGTTTCTGTTAATCATTGTGTATTTGATTGAAGTTGGGGGGAGTTGATTTCTCGTGTAGCTCATTGAAGTCAGAGGTTCCTGACCTGCTGACTGAGCTCCTCTGGCTTTCTGAGAGCCTGACAGGCAGCGATGGGGTGGGGGTGGTTAGATGTGGGCTCTGAGGAACAGACAGTTTGTTTTGTGGTACAGGACCAGAACAAAGTGTTCAAACCACCAAAATCTGTCCAGGTTTTTAAATTAATTGCTCTACAGTGCCCCCCTGTGGTCATAAGTGTTGAGCACAGCACTGCCATTAGGGTTTGTGGTATGCTTGATCATCTTCATACTGGTTTGTATCTTCATGCAATTTCTTTGTATTTTAGTTTCTTTAAGCAAAAACATACTTTTTACTTGTCCTCACTTTATGATCAGGATTTACGTCGATGGTCCATTCGGAGGCCCGTCAGAGGATGTCTTCAACTACGACGTCAGTCTGTGCGTTGCTGGAGGAATCGGAGTCACGCCGTTCGCCTGTGTGCTGCATGCTCTGCTGTGGGTTGTATTTCATTTAAACTGTATCATGAATCAGTTCAGCAAAGTTCCTTATTGTGTATCTGTCTTTGATTCTGTTGTGCATGCAGTGATGGCTGGAGGGGTTTCAGGTTGCAGAGGTTGTACTTTGTTTGGGTCTGCAGAGAGATCCAGTCCTTCTACTGGTTTGCAGAACTGCTAAGTGCCCTCCATCAAAAGGTCAGAGGTGCTTTGTTGTCCTGTTAATTAGCTGTCACAAAATGTTGCCACTTTGTGCTTAATATCGTTTGACCGACAGCAAAGACTCATAAGACGGTCTTCATATTGCTCATGTTTTAATCCTCATTTAGAAACTCAAGGTTAAGACTGTTTACAAGCAGCTCATGTCCATTTGAAGCTGAAATCTGGAAAAGATGCAGGCTAACCTGAGTTTTTTTTTACCCTTTACACACAGAAAAAGTTCACAGCATAATATAATTTAATGAGAAAAGAACCACTCTGTTCTCACGTACTTTTACAGCAAAATAAAATAAACTAGAGAATTTGCATTTCCTGCAAAAATGCAAGTGTGAATGCTTCTTGCTTAAGAAAAAAGTTGAAAAGTAGCTTACAACAGCAGAAAGAAGCTTCAAATATCAGAAGGAAGCAGAACGTGCACAATTATTCCTAATGTAATGGACTGCCAGGCTGCTGCCAATATAAACTGTTGATGCAACAGAACTATGTGTCTGAGTTTGCTCTCAGCTACCACTAGACCAAATTTCA